ATCCTGTGGATGAGTAGACTGGCAGGGAGAACCATCTGCCCCTCCTCACTAGAATGTAAACCCATTCCTGTGGGGCAGGACCACAGGACAACACTGGCAGACACAGGAGTGCAGACGGGAAGATATTAAGTCCATTGGCCCAAGCCATGGACTTAAGTAGTATGGCCTGCTCCTCCCACTGCCTGGACACACAGCCAGCTCACCCAGGCTGCTGCCTTCTGGGTGTCAGTTGATCACTCCTGACAATGTGCTCCATGACTTAGGTCAGGGTCCAGGGTCATTGTCTCTGAACTCTAAGATCACAGACTGATAGAGGTCTTAAAGCCTTCCATCCCTTTTTATTTGGCAGGTGGGGAAACTGAGCCTTGGGGATGTGGCATCAGCTTGCCATATTCCTTGCTCAACCACCCTTGTCTGCAATAGAGATTGGAATTTTGGTCATTCCTTTGCTGTAATACTCTATCTGCAACCTTTTTACTTTAATATTTTGTATCTTGACAAAAGGACTTGACCCAGTGCAAAAGATTAAACAGGAAGCTCTGGAGTGTTCATTTTGGGGAACAGCATGGCTTTGGGGGAAGAGCAAGAAAGCTTGGACCACCCAGGACAACCTCATCTTGTTAATAATAATAATCACTTCCATGTTTTTAAGGTAGTTCCATGGTGGTCCGCATATAGATGCCAGAACCACTCTTTCTGAGTTTGAACTCCAGCTCTCCCACTTATGAGCTGCATGACTTTGGTTGAAAGGCTTAATCTCTCTCTGCCTCGTTTTCTTCATCTGTAAGGTGGGAATCATAATGGTGTATATAAAAGCTTCCAGAATTGTGTCCAGCACATGGTAGGGGCTTGAGAAACGACAGTGATTATAATTCCTATTGCTGATCTTAATTAGTATAATTACCTGGGGAAACCTATATGAATATGCTGAAGTTTGCCAAGGACCGCTTGCCAGAAACAACAGACCACAGAACCAACAGGGTCATCATCATGCCTTCTGAAAAACTGGCCACAAATTGCATTTTTACAAAATCTAATTTTCTCATTAACCTCTTGTTTGGGAAACGCTTTGTCTTTGAAATCACGTCTTTGAAATCTGCCTTGGCTCACAGGAACTCTTCTAGCTTTCAGACATGAGCTTGCTGTTTCCTTTGCCTGGGACATTCTTAGCTCCCACCCCCACCCAGAAGTCTGTGTGGCTGTCTTCATTACTTCCTGCACTTCTTTTCTCAGAAGTTATCTTCTCAGTCAACCCATCCCTAGGTACTTGCTCAAAATCTCAGCTACCCTGCCCCTACACTTCATGCCTATCTTCTCAGATTTACCTTTTTCTTCTTGGCACCTTGTCTGACATACCATAGTATTTATTTTGTTGGTTACTCACTCCCAACTGGAAGGTCTTTGAGGTCAGAGATTTTGACCATTTTGTTCGTGGCATTTTCTCCAGTGCTCAGCACACAGCCAAGCACATAGTATGGACTCAGTGACTGTTGCATGTGTGAGTATGTAGGTGGGAAGGAGGATTTCCTGGCGGGTTCTGATTTTAGAATTCACCTGGTACAGCTGAGCTTCACCGAGCTGCTAGCTACCCTGTGCCAGCCATGGGCAGTGACTGACATATGCCATTTCACTTCATCTTCACAGAAGCCTTATGGATGGGAAAGCTAGGGCTCAGAGGGGTTAAGAAACTTATCTGGTTGCCAGCTTATAGGTGGCAGAGCCTGAGGGCTGTGCTTTCTTGTCCTGGACAGAAAATGCTGCCCGTGCCCTCCCCTGTACCCAGCCTGTCAGGGAGGCCTCCCTGGGTGGTTTCTGAGCTGGCTGCTTTGCAGGGCTAGAAGGCCCATCCCTCCTCACCTGCCTGTGTCTGTGGGCATCTCTTGGCAAGTGTGCTGTGTCAGGCGGCCCAAGTGCTTTCAGCACTTAGGGGTGGCAGGCTAATTAACTGGCCTGCTGAGCAGCTGGTGGATGACTGGGGATTGTCTGAAACGTCTGCCTAGAACCACAACCTGGGGCAGGACTCCTTCCAGCAACTTCCCTGGAGAGCTGCCTGTAAGGCAGGGCCAAACCAGCCATCATGATAGTGTGAAGGGCGTTTTCCATCAAAAGAAGATGTTGGACAAGAGTTGCAAAGACTCTAGTTCTGATCCTGGCTTTGCCACTAGCTAGTTGGATAAAACCGAGAAAGTTACTGAGTATTCCTAGTTCCCCCTGCTTACAAAATGTCAGCAGTAATCATGCTTACCTCCCAGACTTCTTGGGAAAATATATGCAATGTGATTAGCCCAGGTGCAAAAATAAATGTTAGATATTTTATATTTATTATGATTTATTATTAGCTACAACCCCCCACATCTGTAAAATGAGGGGTTTCATTCAGTAGCCACAGGCCTGGCACATAGTAGGTCCTCAATTAATGTTAATTCCCTTTCTTTTTTTTTTAATTGCATTTTAGGTTTTGGGGTACATGTGAAGAACATGTAAGATTGTTGCATAGGTACACACATGGCAATGTGGTTTGCTGCCTTCCTCCCCATCATCTCTATCTGGCATTTCTCCCCATGTTATCCCTCCGCAACTCCCAACCCCCTACTGTCTCTCCCCTATTTCCCTCCCACAGACCCCAGTGTGTGGTGCTCTCCTCCCTGTGTCCATGTATTCTCATTGTTCAACACCTGCCTATGAGTGAGAACATGCAGTGTTTGATTTTCTGTTCTTGTGTCAGTGTGCTGAGAATGATGGTTTCCAGGTTCATCCATGTCCATACAAAGGACACGAACTCGTCGTTTTTTATGGCTGCATAGTATTCCATGGTGTATATGTGCCACATTTTCCCTGTCCAGTCTATCATTGATGGGCATTTAGGTTGGTTCCAAGTCTTTGCTATTGTAAACAGTGCCACAGTGAACATTCATGTGCATGTGTCCTTATAATAGAATGATTTATAATCCTTTGGATATATACCCAGTAATGGGATTGCTGGGTCAAATAGAATTTATTTCTAAGTCCTTGAGGAATTGCCACACTGTCTTCCACGATGGTTGAACTAATTTACACTCCCACCAACAGTGTAAAAGTGTTCTTGTTTCTCCACATCCTCTCCAGCATCTGTTGTCTCCAGATTTTTTAATGATCACCATTCTAAATGGAGTGAGATGGTATCTCCATGTGGTTTTGATTTGCATTTCTCTAATGACCAGTGATGATGAGCATTTTTTCATATGTTTGTTGGCCTCAATATGTCTTCTTTTGAAAAGTGCTTATTCATATCCTTTGCCCACTTTTTGATGGGGTTGTTTTTTTTCTTGTAAATCTGTTTTAGTTCTTTGTAGATTCTGGATATTAGCCCTTTGTCATATGGGAAGATTGCAAAAATTTTTTGCCCATTCTGTTGGTTGCCGGTTCACCCTAATGATTGTTTCTTTTGCTGTATAGAAGCTCTGGAGTTTAATTAGATTCCATTTGTCTATTTTGGCTTTTGTTGCCAATGCTTTTGGTGTTTTAGTCATGAAGTCCTTGCCTATGTCTATGTCCTGAATGGTGTTGCCTAGGTTTTCTTCTAGGGTTTTTATGGTGTTAGGTCTTATGTTTAAGTCTTTAATCCATCTGGAGTTAATTTTAGTGTAAGGTGTCAGGAAGGGGTCCAGTTTCTGCTTTCTGCACATGGCTAGCCAGTTTTCCCAACACCATTTATTAAACAGGAAATCCTTCCCCATTGCTTGTTTTTGTGAGATTTGTCAAAGATCAGATGGTTGTAGATGTGTGGCATTGCTTCCGAGGCCTCTGTTCTGTTCCATTGGTCTATATCTCTGTTTTGGTACCAATACCATGCTGTTTTGATTACTATAGTCTTGTAGTTAGTTTTAAGTCAGGTAGTGTGATGCTTCCAGCTTTGTTCTTTTTGCTTAGGATTGTCTTGGCTATGCAGGCTCTCTTTTGGTTCCATATGAAGTTTAAGGTGGTTTTTTCCAGTTCTGTGAAGAAGGTCATTGGTAGCTTGATGGGGATAGTGTTGAATCTGTAAATTACTTTGTGCATTATGGCCATTTTCATGATATTGATTCATCCTAACCATGAGCATGGAATGTTTCTCCGTTTGTGTCCTCTCTTATTTTGTTGAGCGGTGATTTGTAGTTCTCCTTGAAGAGTTCCTTTACATTCTTTGTTAGTTGTATTCCTAGGTATTTTATTCTCCTTGTAGCAATTGTGAATGGCAGTTCATTCTTGATTTGGCTCTCTGTAAGTCTGTTATTGGTGTATAGGAATGCTTGTGATTTCTGCACATTGATTTTGTATCCTGAGACTTTGCTGAAGTTGCTTATCAGTTTCAGGAGATTTTGGGCTGAGACAATGGGGTCTTCCAAATATACAATCATGTCGTCTGCAAATAGAGACAATTTGACTTCCTCTTTTCCTAATTGGATATGCTTTATTTCTTTTTCTTGCCTGATTGCTCTGGCTGGAACTTCCAATACTATGTTGAATAGGAGTGGTGACAGAGGGCATCCTTATCTAGTGCCAGATTTCAAAGGGAATGCTTCCAGTTTTTGCCCATTCAGTATGATATTGACTGTGGGTTTGTCATAAATAGGTTTTATTATTTTGAGATACATTCCATCAATATCTAGTTTATTGAGAGTTTTTAGCATAAAGGGCTGTTGAATTTTGTCAACGGTCTTCTCTGTATCGAGATAATCATGTGGTTTTTGTCTTTGGTTCTGTTTATGTGGTGAATTACGTTTATAGACTTGCGTATGTTGAACCAGCCTTGCATCCCTGGGATGAAGACTACTTGATCATGGTGAATAAGCTTTTTGATGTGCTGTTGCAATTGGTTTGCCAGTATTTTATTGAAGATTTTTGCATCTCTGTTCATCATGGATATTGGCCTGCAGTTTTCTTTTCTTGTTGAGTTTCTGCCTGGTTTTGGTATCAGGATGATGTTGGTCTCATAAAATGATTTGGGAAGGATTCCCTCTTTTTGGATTGTTTGGAATAGTACAAATATGGAACACTTCATGAATTTGCATGTCATCCTTGTGCAGGGACCATGCTAATTTTCTCTGTATCATTCCTGTTTTAGTATATGTGCTGCCGAAGCGAGCACATTAATTCCCTTTCTTGTTCTTTATTCTTCCTTTAACATCAGATTCCTGGCCTATGCCATCCCTGGGACTTCAACACTCCTGGCCTTGGCCTAGAGGTTTTCTGTGGGCTCATGGCTAATGAGCCATCTTTCCAGGGCAGTGGGGCTAAGTGCTGGGGTGACCATTTTGGAACCATTGTATTAGAAACCTCCTTTTTTTTTTCTTTAATTCCTTCTTTCCATCCAATTTATTTTTATTGATCACCTATTAAGTGCCAGATATAGTGAATACAGCTATGAGCAAGGCAAGGTTCCTGCTACCGTGGAGCATTAGGTCCAGTTAGAGTTAGGTAGAGACAAAGGAAACAAGCAACCATGCAAAAATATAAACCCTTTGAAAAGTAGAAAATAGAATGGTAGAATAGAAAGTGGTGAGTGTGGGGAGAAAAACAAAGCCACTTTAGATAAGCCAGAGTCAGGGAAGGCATCACTAGGAAAACAACATTTGAAGCAGGACTTGAAATGTCAGAACAGGCCAACCATACTCGACTGGTAGAAGGGGTTTCCTGCTCAGAAAACGGCACAGGTGAAGGTCCTGAGGAGGGATGGGGCTTAGCTAGTGCCCCTGTACTTCCTAATGGGAATTGCCCAGTAAAGCCACAGCTTTGCAATTCCAGCCCAGGCAAAGCAATCAGACTTCATCTTCAAGGGTTGGCTGCACTTAAGATCCTGGGTGCTGCCAGGATGTTCTTTTTGTAGTTAATTTGCTGCAACTGGCAGAGGTTAATCATGTCCACGTTCCTCAAGGACCCTGCCAAAGCTGGCCCTTCTCACAGATGCTGGTTTAAATTAGAGGGGTTGTTTGTGGAAGACTAGATTTCGCAGCGATTACCCACAAACTGGTCCTATTGCCTTGCCCTCCTGATGGGCAGGTGGAAGCATGCTGGGTGAGGCTGGCATCTATCACAAGCAGTAGATGCTTGTTCTTGCCAGTGCAATGATAAAGGAGCCCATCGGCTCTCCTCCTAAACCTGTGTGGGCTCCTACAGCAGCCAGAATGCCAGTCAGACCCGTTGGTTTCCCATCCAAGGTGCTCCATGCCCGGCCCCAGCCTCGCTCCTGCCTCTTCCTTGCTGTGCACACTCCTGCTCCTCTCTACACCTTTGCCTGCCTTGTCTCTGTACCTGCAGGAGAAGCTCTACTCATTTTTCCAGGCTATGCTCAGATTCTACCCCCTATACAAGCTCCTCCTCAGACACCCCTGGGGAATTTCATGTTTTCTTCCCCATTCTTCTAGTTTCTCTTTGCACATAAGCCCTTTAAGGTATTGGTCATCATCTATACTGTGTTGGGGAGACTGAGTTCCTACAAAAGTGGGAGCTCCTGATGGCTAGGGATCCACGTCATTTGTCTCTACAGCTCCAGGGCCTAGCATGGGCTTCAGCATCTCATTCATTCAGTCATTCATTCAACAATTGTGTGTTGAAGATCACAGTACCAGGTACTATAAGAGGTAAGGGATTCATAGCTGTGGACAAGGTGTGTTCCCTACTTTTAATTTGCTCCTAGCCTAGAGGCCATTGTAAAAGGGATCAGACCCACTTGGCCAGAGCCTGAGCATCCTTGCCAGATTCTGATGCAAAAATCTGTTTCAAGCTACTTCAAACTTTTACAGTTCTTGAAGTCATAGAGAGGCTCTTAGCTGAATCCAAGGCAAGTGAACAGATTTCCCATCTGCAGGGTATTTTGAAACAGCTCTATTCTTACTCATGTTTTATTTGTTTGTTTTTCTATTACAAAAATAATGCATACTAATTGTAGAGAATGTGGGGGGAAATACAAATCACCCATAATTCCACCACCCAGAAATAACCATTGTTGCTATTTTTGTATGCTGAGAGAGTTATTTGGGAATATTACTTAGAAATTGCTATAATATATAATTGCTGTTTATTAATTTATGCAAATATATGAATATGATTTGCTTGTATATATTTAGCTTGTTGTAAAACTTACACATTCCAGCGCCTGGAAATTTCAAAGATCTGCTGCTCCCAAAGAGAGCTCTTAAACCTAACTCTGTTATGGTCCTTTTCATATGAATAACATATCTTTCCCTCCCTATCATCTCACCCAGTCTGTGTGCTTCAGAAGGGCAGCCTGAACCGTTCTCATCATTCCCTCTTGAGCACACAGTAGAGAGCAGACACACAACATTGGATGGAAAGGATGTGTCTGTGGCCCAGGGAAGGTGACCTGGGGTCCTTCCATTTGGCTATCTTAGGGTGAGTGGTGCTGGTCATATATTTCTAAGGACAGCTCCCCCTTCTCTACTGTGTTCACTAAGGAATTAAAGTATCTTACAGCAGGAATTTTCTTTTCATCAAGGAATCCCCAGGTGCCAGGAAGTGACTGGCACAAAGAAAGCCCTTAATCCACGTTTGTAAAAGCCCGAATGGCCTAAATAACACCACTGTTTTGGAAAACAGTGTGCATGGATTATCACCACAGCCCTATGACATGGGTCTAACAGTATCTTTATCACATGAGGAAACTGAGGCTCAGAGAGGTTAAGCAGTTTGTCCAACATCAGTGTGTTGCCTAGCTGGTGAAAGCCGAATGCGTGGTCAGCCTCCATCAGCACTCTATTTGCTTCCTTCATGGGGCTGCTTTTCAGATACCTGTCCTCAGATACACACCAGGTGAAGGAACCTGTTGGCTGGCGCCTCTTCACTTTTCTAAGACTGGGTGAAATGCCACAAATGTGGGGCCGCTGACAGGGAAGATCTGCCACGTGGGCACAGCCATCTGTGTGACCCACCTGGCCTCTGGGCCCTGACCCAGCCCCTCCTGGGCTGCTTAGATGCGCAGTCTCACCACTTCTCCCTCTGTGTCCTTCACCACTATCTTTTTCACAGCTCTATTTCCCCTCTTGTCAACAGACCTCTCAACAAAATGTTTTCCATCACTGCTGCCTATTTTTAGCTCCTTTATCGGAGTTATTTCCTTTGGTAAATAGCTTCCTGGCATGGGGTGAGCAGCCTAACTCGGGTGCCAGCAAGCACTGTGTGGATGGGGGTGTGGGTTGGGTGGGCATCTGGGGTGAGAGGGAAGAATTGAGGAACCATGAGCCAGGCCCCACCTTTTGGGGCTGCTTTCTGCTCCGATGGTGGCAGCCGCAGCAGAAGCAAGATGCTCATTCATTCCATTTCAATTTGTTAAAACCATTCTTTGAGAAGGAAGCATGTGCACAGGCCTCGGAAGCAGACAATCAGCGACAGGCACCCAAAATAGACTCAAAATCAGCAGCATTTTGTTTTGCTCAAGGCTTTTCATGCCTGCAAGGGAAGGAAAGAAAGGATCCAGAGCATTTTCTGCTTCCAAACACACATCTATTTTACAATAAGACAAATGACTCGTATTCCTGCTATTAAATCCAGCAGCATCCCCTCCCCACCACCTCTTCTCTGAAGCCCTCGCCAGCATTTCCTTTTGTGGCTGCAAGAGAAGCAAATAGCAGTTCACGCGTCTCCAGTGCAGAGTGCTTCTGCCTCCTCCAGCTCTGCCTGCAAGTTGGGCTTTTACAAGCTGAGATTTTCATAAATTAACGCTGCGCGTGCTGCTGTAGCTGCCATAATGGCTTTCCAGAAGGTGCTGTGAGCCAGGCCCTGCTGGAGAGAAAGAGCCAGTGATTTACTTGTAGAAGGCTCTTGGCCCGAGTCAGAGGTTAAGCCAGGCAGTTGCAGATGTCCCGGGCTGCTCTCTGAGTACAACCCAATGTCATTGAGCCTCTAGAAGGGACATCAACTTGCGAGATTCCCTGGTGACCAAGGAGGCCACACATGTAGCGAGTAAGTCCCAGTGGGAGAGCAGGACTCCTGGACTCCAGTCCCAGCCCTGCCCTGTGGTGACATTGTGACATTGTCCAGCCACCATCCCCTGGAGGTCAGTTCCTCCTAGTGTACACTCTGAGTACAGTGACACCTCCCATTTGTAGTACTTATTTAACACTTATTTGTGAAATATGTTGACCATGTAGGTCAGGGGTCTGCATACTTAGGCTCACGTGCCAAATCTGGCTACAGCATTGATTATACATTATCTATGGCTGTTTTTGCACTACAGGGTGAGGTTGAGTAGTTGCCATGCAGAGCGGATGGCCCCAAAGCCTAAAATATCTACCGTCTGGCTCTCAACAGGAAAAGTTTGCTGCCTCTGGTCTAAGTGGTGAGTCCCAGCAGAGCAGAAACCCCTCTGAGAGGTTTAGGAACCCGTCACACACCCAAGATTACTCAGCTAGTAAGTGGCCTAAAAGTAAATGCGTGTGTGTGGAAGTTTCAACATCCAGGACTATCAGGGAAGTTATCAGTGGAATGTGTACAAGTAGAGCCAGAATTTGGCAAAAAAGAAATCTCTCCCAAAAAATAAAAGCTGTATGATGTGTACGTTGGTGGGTAAGCTTAGTGCCTGACCTAATGTTTCTGAGCAAGGAGTCTATTCAGGCAGACTGTCTACCACTTCTGAGCTGTGTGGCCTTCGGAAAGTTTTTAACCTCTCTGAGCCTCGGTTGTCTCAATTGTCAAATGGATATATTGAGACCTATTTTGCAGGATTGTTATGAGAATTCAGCATGATAATGTAGGTAATGCTTAACACTGTTCCTGGCAAATATTAGGGATTCTCTCCCGGGCCTGGTTTCCCTCACTGGTTCCCACTGGTAATGACAAGCCCTTCCTTGGTCTTCATCTGTCTGTCCTTCATAACAGCTCAAGTAGCAGGACAGAGAGGGAGAAAGGGCCCCTTTAGTCATGGGTGGCAACTGAGGGTAGAGATTGAAGTGTTTTAGAATCACTAGACCTAAGTTGAAATCTTGGCCCTGCTACTCACTGAGCCAAGTCACATTCAGTATCTTGATTTACCTCTCCAAGGCTTGCTTTCTCTTCCGGAAGACAGGAAGGAAATAGACACTTCGTTGTAAGGCACTAACTAAGATTAAATGCAATGATATGTGTCAGACATTT